TTTAGACGAAAAATAAGAATATTATAAATTTTTGAAAAATGGGCGTAGCCACGCCCACTTATGGTTACATGTGTATATCTTCGCAACCGATGCACCAATTTTTCCAAACTTGGCACAATTGTTGGCCTTGATACAACCTACGAAATGGCCGAAAATTTTTAAAAACGGACAGTAACCACGCCCACATCCCATATAACGGTAATTTAGAGAAATATGAAATCTTCAATAAATTGGTAAATATTGAAGCTAGTGTATTCAAAATTGATGCTTGCAACAATTCTTTACCAAGAAAGACGCTTATGATAAAATTTTGGAAAATGGGCGTGGCACCGCCCACTTATGATCATATATATACATATATCTCGGTAACCGTTCTAACAACTTGTACCAAACTCGGTGTGGTACTTGCCACATAGAAGCAAAACGCTTGAAATCGGACTAAAATTACTGCCGCTTTTCATATAACGGTAAATTTCAGGAATGCTTGAAACTGCAATATTTCGAAATTTAAGGACGCTAATTTACTCAAAATTGTTACACCCCGGCTTACCATGCAGCGGTAGCTTTCGGAAAGGTGAAAAACTTATATTTAATATTTGCGCCGGGTATTTAATGTTCGGCTCCGCCCGAACTTAGACTTTCTTACTTGTTAATTATAACACAGTTCTTAACAATTTGTTTGCTGTCGCTTGTTAAATTACTTGTTTGTTTAGACAATATTTAATGTCAATTTTGGCAGTATGTCAATGCAATTCAAAAAGTTGTATTAACGCTTTAAAACTACAAGTTTACTCAGTAAAATTATTCATGAATTTAAACTCAGTATTGCTAGTTTGTAAGTATCTAAGATGTAAGGGCATATATATAAAATACATAAACAAATATGTAGATGCTATATTTGCCATAATTAAGAAAACGAACGTGGAGGTTATACTAAAAGCATTTAACGCACAGCATACAAAAATTAGATTCACAGCGGAAGAGGAAAAAAATAAGAGGTTAGCCTTCCTAGATGTTGAAATCCATCGGGATAATAACGAGATTAGACTGAATTGGTATTCAAGAGCTGTAGCCTCATCTAGGATGATAAATTTTCATTCACATCACCCATGGAGTCAAAAGAAAAATACTGCCATGAACTTAATTGAAAAAATTTATAAAGTCAGCGACAAGGAGTTCAGAAGAGAGAACAAGAATTAAATTAAAACCATCTTATATAAAAACGGATACCCTAGCGCGCTCATAGAAAGATTCATAGCAACAACAATTAACAAAATAGAAGACGCGAACAACAATATGAAAACTAAAAATGATAATAGAATATTTGCTGGCATAACATACATACCAGGTTTAACGGACAACAAATCGCTAGGTAAACTTATACATAACCAAACAATAAGTTTTGCGCATCGACCGCATCGCGCACTCAACACAGGTTTTACCAAAACAAAAGACAAAATAAACAAAGAACAACAACACAACGTCATATATGAGATTAAATGCAACGGCAAAGCAGACGAACGCTGCAGCAAGGTATACATAGGAACGACGAAGCGAGCTTTAGGAGTCAGAATCAACGAGCATAAAACAGAAACGAAAAATAGAAAGATGACAACTGCATTAGCCCAGCATCTGACAAAAAGCGAGCACACAGCGGACTTTGATAATGCAAGAATAATAGACATCGAGAGGAAAACAAAGAAAAGGATGACGTTAGAAGGGCTTCGGATACAGCAACAAATACACTGTGCAATGAATTACAAAGAAGATGTAGACAACATAAATTGCGCATACACAGCGATAATAGCGAGTAATAGACGAACAGCTGGGATAAAGTATTGATGTATTTAAATGTTAAGTGTCAATTTAAAAATGTGATGTCCATTGTGGAGCTTTCAAAAACTTATATTTTTTTTGTAAAGTTAAGATCCAATTAAATTTTTAATATTTAACAAAAATACATTTTCAACTATACAGCAAGATGAAAAAATTTGAAGTGAAGAAAAATTTTGATTTTGATTTCCATTTTACAAAAATAACTTAAATCAAAAATTTTCAAAATTAAGAAAGTTAAAAAATGGAGCAAGTGTAATAAAAAGCATGAACCCTACAATACTCCCCCTTCCAGAGAATCATTATTATATAAATTAAAAGTAACTTGTTTCTTTTTAGTCGTTGTTGAAAATGTGTGATTGTTAGTGTTATGTAATTGTGTTCTTTAAACTACCGCTGGCTTTTATCTGTCAATCGAATAGTTTTAATTTCGTTATTTACATCTACCTTGAAATGTTTCTTATCTTTTTCAAGAACTCTGTAAAGTCCTTCATACGGATGTTGAAGAGAACGCTTGTTAACGATACGAATGAAAACAAATTTACACGTTTGTAAATCTTCTGGAACATGAATTCCTGAATCAAAATCTTTATGATGTTTTAAATTTGAATTAACATTTTTAAAACGCTCTCGTAAACTACTTAAACTTTCGGTCGAAGTTACATTTTCTGTAGTTGGCATAACAAGTTCTCCAGGTAGACGCAAATTTTGGCCAAACATCATTTCAGCTGGAGAGGCTGCAATATCTTCTTTGTACACCGATCGTAAACCAAGAAGAATTATCGGTAGCTCATTGTACCAATCTCTAGTTCTACGTTCTACCATACCATTACCCTGAGGATGATAGGAAGACGTTGTGATAGCAGCAATTATTTAGTTCCGAAAATAATTTTGATGTAAATTGAGTGCCTTGATCCGTCGTAATTTCTAAAGGTACACCAAAACGAGATACATACTCAGTAATAAATTTATTTGCTACTGTCTGTGCAGAAATTTCGTTTAAAGCATATGCTTCCGGCCAACGTGTAAATCGATCAATAATTGTTAAAATGTAGCGATAACCTTTTGAAACAGGAAGCGGTCCAACAATATCTAAATGTATGTGTTCAAATCTACTCTTTGGAATTGGAATTGTGCTTACAGGAGATTTTGTGTGACGATAAACTTTAGATTTCTGACAACTTATGCATCCTTTTGAGCATATATTTATTTCCTTGTTCATATTAGGCCAATAATACTTATTAACAATTAATCGGCGTGTAGCCCTGGTACCAGGGTGAGAAATTCCATGTAATATATCAAACACTGTTCTACGTAAACTGCTTGGAACAAAAGGCCTAGGATTTTCGGCTGAAGCTTTACACCAAATATTAAAAGTCAGAACAGGAATTTTAACTAAATTAAGAATTTGAAATTTTTGCTCAGAAATAATTTTATCGAGTTCATTGTCCGAATTCTTAAACGCATCTACTTCAAACGTACGAGATAACGTGTCAGCTACAATGTATGTCACTAGTAAACTGTGCAATAAACTCGAGATGTCTTGTTTGGCTTGGACTACGTTCAGTTTTGGAATTTAGAGCAAAAACCAAGTTTGTTATTTTATCAACTCACTGATATTACTTGAAGTAGAACTTGCTAAAATTACTTTGAGGTTTTTCGGTAATTTCCTCATCCAAAGTTTCTTAAGAACTTCTTGGCTGAAATTGGAACCCGAAAGCAGTACAAGAGACCGATAAAATTCCGAGGGCTTAATATCACCCATTCCAGAATCAGAAAATATTTTTTATAGATTTTTATCGTTGTCAATAACGATTATGCGATTCACTAACTTATTTCTAACGACAGTGAACAGCTGACTTTTTCCATTAATTCAAATGGATAAAAAGCGGCATCTCCGCTGTTCGAAATGTCAAATTTGCGAAAAGCACAAAGCGGAACAGAAAAAAAACAAAGCCATTTCTTCGCGCCGCTAATTTGCGTCCACATATTGCAGAAAGGGGGAGTACATTTTGCTATTTATTTAATTAATATGTATAAGAATTTACTTTGTTCTTATTTATAATTTCAGAATGGCGTCTACCAGTGGAGCAGGAGCTAAAAGGAGTCGGGCATCAGCGGAGCAGCTCAACGTGATGATCGAGAGGAACGAAGGGCTTGCGTCCGGAAAGTTCCAGCGTCTCCAAGGAAAGCTGGAGTACCAAAAGAAGTGGGCGGAAATGGCACAAAAGCTCAACGCTATAGGAGGAGCTGTAAAGTCAGTGGAACAATGGCATTCGGTAAGTACTTATCTTGTGTTTTAAGTGTGTGTATATAGGAAGCAGTTTTCGAGAGTGCGATAAAAAAACAATTAGTATAATATATATGTACATACGTGAAGTACAATTTTTTAATTAAAATGTGCAAATGAAGAATCAGGTTGTTGGTTAATTCGGAAAAGTAATCTTTAGTGTTCAAATTCATTTTTAACATATTGAGTACGGTTTAGTTATTTGTGCAACGACTTTGGGTTGCTGTGCCCAAACGTGTGAGACGAACCAAAAAACGTTTACACACACTTATAGACAAGAGTATACACTTTATTTAAGCAAAAGGTTTGCCATAGCTGTGCATTAATTTATTTATTATTTAGGTTTGAAATATGGTATTTTTGCAATCAGCTCCCAAGGTGTCTTTTCATAAAGTGCGGTCCATCCTCTTTTTTTTAAGGGAGGTTTGGAGGGCCACGCCAACTCCCCCTCCGCTCTCTACCCCNGGAGGTTTGGGGGGCCGCGCCAACTCCCCCTCCGCTCTCTACCCCAAAATCGTTGTACAAATAACTTAACATTTCCCCCGGGGCTTTTGTTTAATTTTGTTTGAGCTTCCTGTGCACATTAATTTATCTTTTATTTTCTTGATCTTTCATAAAAATGCTGCAATGCTTTATAATAATAATAATAATAATATCCCAACGGTTTTTACCCTCCATTCCCGCCCATCCGCACGAGGGGCGCAGTCCGCATGACGTACGGAACCAATATTTTAAATTTTTTGTGCCGAGTCACGATAGGCAGGAGTTTGTTAAGTGTCGAGATCTAAAACTGTTCAGCTACAGAACTAAATTCATCAGCTGATTTTATGTATTTATGTCAATAATTCACTTATTGAGAGAGTATCGCTTTCTTAATGCTGAAAAGCGGATCTGATATATCAAACGTGCTGGAATGAGAGTTAAAATCCTTGCATAAGCAACGGAGTGGGTCGTGCAATTCAAAATTGGTTTTACAAGCTTTCAGAAATATGGGACAAAACTGTCTTGATACGCGTGAGGGAACATTAAAGCTTACATCAGCCAGAAGAGACGGACTTGAAATTGAGCCTGTCAGTAATTTAACCATAAAAATTATACCAAGCATTTCCCTGCGACTGGCAAGTGTAGGAAGGTTAATAAGTTTTAAGCGACTCGTATAACGTGGAAGACTATATTGAGAATCCCATCGGAAATTTCTTAAAGCAAAAAGTAGGAATTGTTTTTGAATTGATTCTATTTTGTCTGAGTAAATTTGATACCTTGGATTCCAAACCACCGAGCCGTATTCCAGAATCGGCCTAACTAAGGGTTTTAGTGATATAAGGGTCACTAAATTCTTTTGACCATCGTTTCACAAATGCAAGTACACCTTTAGCCTTGTTGACTGTCACATTAATGTGAAGATTAAAATTAAGCTTAGGATCCATTGTGATACCAAGGTCCACAAAATTGTTTACCTGTTCCAAGTTATGGTTACCTATTATATAAGAAACTGGCAGAACAGCTCTTCGCGAGAAGCACATTACTTTACATTTCTTAAGATTTAGAGGCATAAGATTTACTTTACACCAGTAAGCCATGCTGTTTAAGTCCGATTGTAGCAAAGACCTTTCTTCAATTGAAACGTACGATTTATAAAGTTTTACATCATCTGCATACATTAAAATTTTGGAGAATTTTATATCTGTAGAAATAGCGTTTATAAAAAGCAAGAACAGAATCGGGCCTAGGTGGCTACGCTGAGGGACTCCTGAAGTAACATCAATGACGTCAGAGATAGTATTTTTAAACAATACCCTTTGTGGTCTATCATAGAGGTATGAAGAGATCCAACGTAGAAAATTAGGTGGAAGACCATATTTGTTAACTATGTATTTCATTACTTTGCAAACAGGTCTGGCGCGACTTAAAAAGCCGTACAAGCGTACGTGTACGTGACCGGAAGAGGCAGCAGGCTCTAACAGGCAACAGGCCCATCGACCAGCCGCCTTTAACGGAGATGGAGAGGCGGGTAATTGATCTGATTGGGATCAACTACATCGAGGGTCACGAAGCGGTTCCTGACAATGTGCCATTGGAAGAGGTGAGCTTATAGTTATACAATTATTTCTATTATTATTTAATACTTTTTTAATTTACTTTTAAACTATTAGGAGCTTCAATTGGTCATGGAGGATGGGGAGGATATTGTCTTCCATGCGGTGACGCCGGCGTCCGTGTTTGGAGCCGACAGCGAGGTGCAGGTCAGCACACCTAAAATTCCTGCGCAAACACCGCGTAGGGCTTTGAAGAGGAAGCGGGCGGAGGAAGAGAGCGATGTCCAGAAAAAATTTCTGGAAGTCGCTGAGAAGCAAGCAGATGCCTTGAAGGTGAGAAATCAAGTTTACTGAAATAAAAAATAAAAATTCCAACTTATGGCATTTGACCATAATTTCATATGTAAAACTTTTCGCTGAACCCGAATATTAAGGCAAAATAATACAAGAATGTAAACAGATTTTACTTATAGCCAATTTTTTTTTTTTTGAGATCTGAAAAAAGTTCTTATGCGTTTTTGCAATCTGAAATGTCTTTAAATTTAGTAAAGTCTATAAATTTGCGATTGTCTATAATATTACCTAAATCTAAAAGAGATTGCAGATTGACTATATCCAAAAAAAAATGCAATAACTTGAGAGAACTTTTTTCAGATCCCAAAAAACCTAAATTTGGCTATATTTCAAAAATTGTTATACATTCTTATATTATTTTGCCTTAATATTTGGGTTCAGCGTAAAGTCTTACATATGAAACTATGGTCAAATGCCACATGTCGGATTTGTTGTCGACTTGTATTAGGTACTAGGCCCTATCGCGAATTTAAGTGAACAAATATTCCCAAAAATTATAAAGCAGAACAAAAACAATTTTTCCCAATTTGTTTTTGTTTTGCATGTTAAATAATGGGCACAATTTATTCACATGAAATCGGCGATAGGGCTGATTATATTTTAAAAACATCGTGTTAATATATACTTTTTATCAATAGATGCTGGCTGAAAACTCTTCCAGACAAACGGATGTTTTGAAGGTGAGAAGTAATTATTATTAGATATGTTTTACATAAATCGTATTAATATATACTTTTTGTCAATAGATGCTGGCTGAAAATACCGCAAGGCAGACGGAGGCGACGCTTGCAATGGCGCAGTCTATGACCGTCCTTAGCGAAGGGATGAAAGCCTGTGCCACATTTTATAAAATAACTTCAAGTACGCAGTTTTATAGCGCATTAAATTAAAAATCAAAGCGATTTCGTAGCAACCTCATTTTTACACATTGTTATACTAAAATTTAAGTGTTGATTAAAAATCGTTGAACTTTCCTTAATTTTGTATAAACCTTGAAACTTTGCTTTGTATGATTTTGTTTTAAGGATGATCCATATTTTTATAATAAAAAAATAAACGAATTTTATCTTCCAAAATATTGCGAATATTTAAAAAATGAATGGTGTATGCAGACTTTTGCTGTTAAGTTTACATATCATACAAGAGTTATTTTATAGTTTTTCTTTTAATTTTCAAAACGAATTACTTATTTTTTCCTTTTATGTTTTAAATTATTTATTTTGTACCTTGTTTTGTACCTGACTGGAATATGTACCTTTAGTTTAAAAAATATATATTTTATGAAATAAATTGGAAATGTTTTTGTTATGAATATGACATAGTTGTTATGAAAATTAAATTTATTTACCTTAATTACACATTCGCCTTTTAAATTAAAATTTTGAACATTTCGTTGCATTTAATACTTTTTTCTATTCATTTATTTTCTAAAAGCCGAACTTAAGTGAAATACTATAAACTACACATAAAAACTATTATTCAATTTAAACTGTTATTTAATTTAAACTAGTTTTCAACTTAAAAATAAATTCTTCTAAAAAGCACTTCGAAGCTATTATATTTTTTATCAAAGAACAGTAGGTGGTCTATCAATAACGACCGATGTTTTTGTGTGTTTTGCAATAACCAATTCCATAATTAATATACCAAAAATACATACACTATTTTGTCTTCGGTCGTTATTGATAGACCACCNAATTACTTAAAGTTTTTTCTTTTACATTTACATACAATCACTCACAGAAGTATTCGTAATATAGTTTTTCATAACCAAAATTTTTTCAATATTGAACTATTTTCGCAAATTTGTATTCAAAATACACCTCATTCCATAACAAAAACCTTAGAAATCAATCTTGTAAACTTTGTACAATGTTCCCAAAAATTTATCAAACATAAAAAAACGTTCATCAAAATTTCAAACTCTTTATTCAGAATCTTTAGAAAATTTTCGAGTATGCAGTTTTGTAGCCCATTCAATTTCAGTAGGCTAAAATTCAAGTTTGATGTCGCTACAAAATACCGTTAATATTTGAGATTTTTTTTTGTCGAGGGTGCTCAGCATTTTCTTCCGTATAACGAATGAAAAAAATTAATTTTTATATGGAACAAAATGCATAACACCCTCGACAAAAGAAATCTCAAATATTAACGGTATTTTGTAGCGCCATCAAACTTGAATTTTATCCTACTGAAATTGAATGGGCTACAAAACTGCATACTCGAAAANCAATATTGTGAAAAACGATAATACGAAAACTTCTGTGAGTGATTGTAAGTAAATTTAAAAGAAAAAACTTTAAGTATTTAGAAGACAAAACTAGTGCGAAGATAAACATGTAAATTTAAAATAAAATGGGTATTCATCTAAAAGCATAAATGCCTCGTAACTTGTAAATAAACTGGTTTACGATACAAAATTAATTAAGTTTACGTGGTTACAAGGCGTTTATAATTTTAGATGAAATGCCCCAAAAAAAAGTATTAAGGAGAAAAAATTAGTAATTAATTGGTCTTGGACACGTTTTCCANTTTAAGTTTACGTGGTTACGAGGCGTTTATAATTTTAGATGAAATGCCCCAAAAAAAAAGTATTTAGGAGAAAAAATTAGTAATTAATCGGTCTTGGACACGTTTTCCCATGGAAGATACCGAATTTGAATTATAGTCGGTACCGTCTGCATGTACATGTGTTTCTACTTCTAATATTATATTATTATCGACTTCATTTATTTGCTCGCGCAAACGGATATTATGCAAGGTTGAGCACGCATTTACAACCTTACCAGCAAAACCAGGATCGTAGAGTAACACTCGTTGTTGTGATAAACATCGCCAAGTTCCTTTAAGCACTCCAAATAGTCTCTCTACTGGATTTCGAGCTTTGCATAGCGCCTCGTTGTACCGAAACTTAGGAGTACCCTCAGGTTGGTTCGGTAAAGGCGTCATGAGCCATGGCTCTAAGGGGTATCCAGAATCGCCTGAAAGGAACTTAATTTTAAATTATGTACATTTTAAAGTAAATTAAAAAGAATACCAATCAAAAGAATGTTGCGGTTTCCATTATCAAAAGCTCTCTGCATGACTCGCCGCACTGGACAGGAACTCCAAATGTAAGAGTCATGTCGTGCTCCCGGAAACCTAGCATTGACGTTGAGTATTTTTAAATTTGGGTCACATATCTATAAAAGCATAACAAATATTTATCGCTCGACTTTTATTTAAAATACTTAGCTCACCATTTGAACATTTATCGAGTGATAGCCATGATGGTTCACGTATGCTTCCTCATGAGTTTTAGGACCCAAAATAGAAACATGCGTGCAGTCTACCGCTCCAATAGTTCCTCCAACGAAAGGCGCAGGTGCTGAAGCAAACACTTCCTTGGCAGCTTGACGGTCCACCTGCGTCATAGGGAACTTAACCTCCTCAAAAAATAGTCCACTGTTTATGGCATCAGTTACGCGATGTATACAACGGCTTATAGATGATTGGCTCATTGATATGCCCCACTGTTCCCCTACAGGCCGTTGGTAGCATCCTGTGGCATAGAAGCGTAGTGTACACAAAACCTTCAAAGATAAAAGATTATTTGGGAAATGTTTAGTTATTTGTACAATGATTTTGTGGTGCGGAGCGGAGGGGGAGAGGGTGTGACACCTAAAACCATACCCGTTAGAAAGAGCACAGTCAAAACTCCCCTCTCTGACCTCTCTACAGACTACCGGGGGCCCATTTGAAAATGGGTTCACCCCATTAGCATTTCAACATGGAAGCCACATCGAAACTTACAAAAAAGTCCATAATTAAAACCGGTTTTATTAATAAACTAGTGCTTGGAAATTTGAAATCTTTGTTTTAAATTAAAGTTTAATCCTTGGAATACACGCGTATGTTAAACTTTTTAGATTCGAGTCACGCGTTTGGGCATCATTGTACAGATAACTAAACCGTACCCAGGAAATTATTGTATACATACTACATATCCAAAATTGCATGCTCTCATTATTTGAAGATTTACCTGTTTTTCCGCCGATATTGAGGTAATCCTTTTACCTTTCAATTGGATTTCCAGCCGCTGGATGAGCTCCATTGCAGTCTCTGGGCCCACACGATATAGCTTCCGGAACTCGGAAGGCGCCAGCTCAAATGGATCGTGAATGTCCCCGAGCAAACGCCGATCCACTGTGGGGGTATTTCTGACTCCATACTTTCGGTGTAAACTATACGCCACATATTCAAACGCCATTTCTTTTATATAAATTCACTTGGATATACTTGCGCGCAAATTCGTTTGGTTAACACAAACTTAACAACACCAAATGAGATGTCGATAACTTAACCATAAACGAATCGTTAACGAAACAGCTGATTTTCACTTATCGAATATCGATAAGAAAGTACTTATTGAATAGCAAAATCTTTAAAATTATCGTTTAGCTAAATTAGCCACTGCGAATGTCGTTAAAAAGGTTACCGAATCGCACTACAGGACAGATATATCAATAAACACGTACGAAAGAAAAGGAACACACACGTTTATAAATAAACATGTACACAACACATATACAAAAACGGCACTCAAGTACACAATGCATTGACAAAAACAGTACTAGAGTGTCTCGCTCTGATTTCGGAATGCTTACATATTGAGAAGTTAGCTTACTGCCAATATAGAAGTATTACATATATGCTAATTTTGCATTCTCACTTAATGAATTCCTTTTAATTAATATTTTCTTAAGCGCGGTAAATTTATTATTTTCGGATGGATTTTGAATAAAATGGTTACTATAACTTCTTGCGGAAGTGCAGTAATAGTATGCTCATATTTCGTTGTTTCCTGTGTAATATTTTTTGTACTAAACTGCCTTTCCGCATGGATAAACCAAGCTTCCGGGCAACTTGTCCAAAATTGTGGTAATTTGACTGATGTAGCACAAATCTCATTACTATTCCGATCGACATACAGATTTGTTAACTGCTCGTTAAACGAACTATTTGGCAAATCAATAAGCGTTTAATTTAAATTATGTGTATTACATGTAGGTGTATGTGTATCATGTTGTGGTGAATGAAACATTTTGACTATTTAAACTTTAAGAAATAGACCTCAAGAAGGTAAGTTTACAATTATTTCAAAAAATTGTAGTATTCAATAAATTATAATAAAATGTATTTATTTATTTTTAACAAAAATAAGTACTAAATTTATACTAATCTAAGAGAAAATATGAACAATACAGCTCACCAATATTTTTGGCACCTTAGTTGAGTCCTTAAACTTGCTCAGTTGCTGCTCGTACTTAATGACAGTCGCTAATGTTGCCGCTGCTCAGGCAGTTGTTTTTGTTGCCGTTACTGTGGCGGTTGTGGTTGCACTGCTGCTTTTGTGACAGTCACTGTTGTTGCTTTTGCTGTTAAAATCGTTGCTGTTATTGCCACTACATGACGGTTGTTGCTGAAACTGTTGCTACNGTGTCTCGCTCTGATTTCGGAATGCTTACATATTGAGAAGTTAGCTTACTGCCAATATAGAAGTATTACATATATGCTAATTTTGCATTCTCACTTAATGAATTCCTTTTAATTAATATTTTCTTAAGCGCGGTAAATTTATTATTTTCGGATGGATTTTGAATAAAATGGTTACTATAACTTCTTGCGGAAGTGCAGTAATAGTATGCTCATATTTCGTTGTTTCCTGTGTAATATTTTTTGTACTAAACTGCCTTTCCGCATGGATAAACCAAGCTTCCGGGCAACTTGTCCAAAATTGTGGTAATTTGACTGATGTAGCACAAATCTCATTACTATTCCGATCGACATACAGATTTGTTAACTGCTCGTTAAACGAACTATTTGGCAAATCAATAAGCGTTTAATTTAAATTATGTGTATTACATGTAGGTGTATGTGTATCATGTTGTGGTGAATGAAACATTTTGACTATTTAAACTTTAAGAAATAGACCTCAAGAAGGTAAGTTTACAATTATTTCAAAAAATTGTAGTATTCAATAAATTATAATAAAATGTATTTATTTATTTTTAACAAAAATAAGTACTAAATTTATACTAATCTAAGAGAAAATATGAACAATACAGCTCACCAATATTTTTGGCACCTTAGTTGAGTCCTTAAACTTGCTCAGTTGCTGCTCGTACTTAATGACAGTCGCTAATGTTGCCGCTGCTCAGGCAGTTGTTTTTGTTGCCGTTACTGTGGCGGTTGTGGTTGCACTGCTGCTTTTGTGACAGTCACTGTTGTTGCTTTTGCTGTTAAAATCGTTGCTGTTATTGCCACTACATGACGGTTGTTGCTGAAACTGTTGCTACTGTGGCAGCCGTTGATGTGGCTGTTGCTAGTGCTAAATACCAGTCTTGCAACGCTCTGGCGATAAAAAAAAAAACGGTGAATACATGGTGCCGTAAAGAAAGAATAAACAGCGCTTAGCTGATAATGGCCTAGTGAAAGATTTTGCGATCACTGAGTTGCAGAATAAGCGGACAGTGCGTTGCGTTAGAGGCTGTAAATTCGGAGGCGATGAAGCACTANGAAATAGACCTCAAGAAGGTAAGTTTACAATTATTTCAAAAAATTGTAGTATTCAATAAATTATAATAAAATGTATTTATTTATTTTTAACAAAAATAAGTACTAAATTTATACTAATCTAAGAGAAAATATGAACAATACAGCTCACCAATATTTTTGGCACCTTAGTTGAGTCCTTAAACTTGCTCAGTTGCTGCTCGTACTTAATGACAGTCGCTAATGTTGCCGCTGCTCAGGCAGTTGTTTTTGTTGCCGTTACTGTGGCGGTTGTGGTTGCACTGCTGCTTTTGTGACAGTCACTGTTGTTGCTTTTGCTGTTAAAATCGTTGCTGTTATTGCCACTACATGACGGTTGTTGCTGAAACTGTTGCTACTGTGGCAGCCGTTGATGTGGCTGTTGCTAGTGCTAAATACCAGTCTTGCAACGCTCTGGCGATAAAAAAAAAAACGGTGAATACATGGTGCCGTAAAGAAAGAATAAACAGCGCTTAGCTGATAATGGCCTAGTGAAAGATTTTGCGATCACTGAGTTGCAGAATAAGCGGACAGTGCGTTGCGTTAGAGGCTGTAAATTCGGAGGCGATGAAGCACTAGCGCTTAGCCGGGTGCGGTTGTGTTGGTTGCACGATGTTATCCAAAATTTTGCCGTGTGCTCTTCTAATGAAACTTATGGTGGATTCAGTTGAGACAGCATGAAATAAAGTTTAAGGAGTCCTGATGCTGATCGTGGTTACTACGTATGACGCCAATATCGCTATTACCATTTGCAGGATCGCCAATTGTGGAGCTTTCAAAAACTTACATATATTTTTTTGGTAAAGTTAAGATCCAATTAAATTTTTAATATTTAACAAAAATACATTTTCAACTATACAGCAAGATGAAAAAATTTGAAGTGAAGAAAAATTTTCATTTTGATTTCCATTTTACAAAAATAACTTAAATCAAAAATTTTCAAAATTAACAAAGTAAAAAATTAAGCAATTGTAATAAAAAGTATGAACCCTACATCCATAAAATAATTAATGTGATTTTATGTTATTATATGTTAAGGTATGTTTAAAAACATGTTTTGGTATACACGTTTGTTAATTATATTTTCTTGTAAAAATAAATAGCCTCCCTGAGGAAGACACAATAATGTGTTGAAATGCGTAGGAGGCAGAAAAGAAAAACCAACGTTTTTGCTTTAAAATCAACGGCCGAAAAGCTCCAAATATACAACTCGTAAACTCAATATTGTTGTTGTTTTCCAATTTTTATCCAACGCACATAGAAACATTCTGTCATTCTTAATTTTGTCATCAGATGGCAAATTTTTTCGGTTTGAAAGAAATAAAATTATTTTCTAAGCTTTAATATGTATGTATGTGCATATCGTCGATGTTTTTGCAAAACCGCCTATCGACCAATTGCAAAACCGCCTAAATCGCCGTTGTGGCCAAAATGAGTTTTGGTAACCCTGAACTCCAGGCATCGAGATTTATGCATAAAAATCGTTAAATCGTTATTAAAACAACAGATTTGTAAAATAATAGCTAAAGAAAATACCGCCTATTAAGGCAATGCCTTCAAAGAATAAACCATTTTTACGCTCCCCTTTAAAATTTAAGTGCCGTAAGAAAGCCGGTTTTGGCGATGGGCGGTTTTGCAAAACCATCGACGATATGTATTTTTCAGTCGGTTTCATTCTTCACACTTCAAAATTTTTAAATGATAAATTTGAAACAAGGCTTCCGAGCTGTCAGAATCTTCTGGTTCTGAGCTTTCTACCAGGAAACGTCGTCCCAAAACGCGATACGTATGTATGTTCTAAAAAACTAAATTAATGTAAAATATTTTTTTAAATATACATATGTACATAAAATTTTAATTTTTAAATAATTACCGGCAGAGATCGAAACCATATTAAAATAAATTATTGCTCTCAATAATGTGAAACCTATTAGATTGCCAAAGTTTTCCATCAAAGAAAACATACAAAAAATTGGGAAAATAGCGTTTTGAAACCGTATCACACAGCGATCGAAACATGCTGCTAAATACTCGAATAAATATTTTTTCCTAAAACACGTTTTTGGCAATTAAAACCGCCAGTAACACCCTACTATGTTTTACAAAACATTGAATTGATATGTTACTGCAGTATTACAAAAGCTTTGCTTTCTTTGCGAAAAAAATTTAAATAACAGTATATTGCTTTACCTAACCTAATTATTTTTTGAGTTCTGGAGTAATTATTGAGATGGCATTTCACTTCTGGTTCCTCTGAGGTATCCTTTACCCGTAGCAAGAATGAAAATTTATGTTTTTACAAACTTGTTTTTGACCACCTGCGCTTATGTGTTTTTACAATTCTGGACCACTGTACGTCCTCCAAGGTTTAGATAAAAATTACGTAAATACATTTAAACTGCATTATCGAATACTTATCAGTAGTCCTGAAATCTCCTTAAAAAAATTATAGCTCTCAATATTGTTAAAACATTATTCTTCATGTGTGTGAAGTACTATAGTGGTCACGTAAATTACAATTTGCGAATGGGGAGGCAAATTAATGTAAACAAAACCTACGTCCATATACTTTAAATAAGTCCTTTTTTACCCTCAATGCACAGATTTTTTTGTGCAAAACTATGTAAAAAAGGTGCACTCCATCAAAATTCACGATAAATATTAAATGCAGACCGAAGCAAGCACCTCAATATTCTTTGAGAATTAAAATTCATGAGTAACATGTGGTAATCTGTACAAAACCATCAAACTACCATATATCGTAATACCACGTAAGCTTCTATAATATAAGAACAAAAAATTAAAGGCGAAATATACTGCTCATAACAACCTTTTTCTTAGGGTGCTGGAAAAATATTAATTGAAATGTCATTTAAATCTGGTACATGTAGGGTATCCCTTACATGTATCATG